CAATTAGATTGGGGATCAAGCCCTGGTTTGGGGACTTGTTCTGAGGGGCACCTTTCTGGGCCTGCAGTTTTCTCTTTAACAGCACTCACCCCTCTTGTCCCTGAGGCTCAGTCCTGGGCTGATGGGCCGTGCCCACGCCCTGACACCCACACCCTGTCAGGACTGGGCCTCCGGGCATCACTGGATGTGGCTCTGGGCTGCGGCCCCCACGTAGAACTCCCAGCACAGCTGGGCCACCCAGCACAAGTGAAGGTCCCATTCCCATCAGGTTGGGTGTTCGAAAAGAGTTCAATACAAGGGTTGTTTACGGGGCTGTAGATAGGTTCAAGGGGTCACCTAGGTTGGCGCATCACTGGGGGGGCTAACATCAGGAGGAGCCCTTTCAGGGTGTCTGGGTGGCTCAGTCAGTTTACTGTCTGCTTTCGGCTCAGGTCGTGATTGGAGGGAGTGGTGGGATTGAGCAGTCTGTTGGGCTCCCTGCTGGGTGGATAGCCTGCTTTTCCCTGTCTGTCTGGGCACCCCCACAGTCGTGTGTGCACACACACAAGCGTGCACACACACATACACACACACACACACGAGCGTGCTCTATCTCTCACTCTATCTCAGATAAATACAATCTTTAAAAACAAAAACAGGGGCGCCTGGGTGGCTCAGTGGGTTAAGCCTCTGCCTTCGGCTCAGGTCATGATCTCAGGGTCCTGGGATCGAGCCCGGCATCGGGCTCTCTGCTCAGCGGGGAGCCTGCTTCCCCTCTCTCTCTGCCTGCCTCTCTGCCTACTTGTGATGTCTGACTGTCAAATGAATGAATAAATCTTAAAAAAACAAAAACAAACACAAAAACACAAAAATGGGGAGCCCTTTCCATCCCTAGGCCTGCAGGGGGCAAAGTAGGGAATGGTTACTCAAACCTGGTGTGGGCCCGCGCCTTAGTCCCGTTCAGTTTCTGTGATCTGTCCACCAGAGGGATCTCTCAAGACATGCGCTCCTGTGGTCCTCTAGATAAAGGCCCAATATCTCAGCATATAGCCCTGCAAGGGACCTGGGAGAGGGGTGACTATGGGGTGGGGTGTGTTGACTGCAGGCAAGAGTTTGGGGAAGGAGTAGGGGAGGAGCAGCCCCACCCATACATTCTCCAACTTCCTACCTTTGCCTTCTATTTGCCAAGCCCAGCAAGAAGCCCTGGAAGAGGGAGCCCCGGGACAGAGGAGGGTGGAAGGTGGACCGGGAAAGGGAAGTCAAGACAAGCTGCTGTCACAGGCCCCTACTACGGGCAACACAGAGGCTTGGGGGCACTGAGGCAGCCTGTCCCCAAGGGGAGTGATTCAGGCTGGTACTCAGGGGAAAGTGATCAGTGGGTTGAAGGGGATCCTGTCTTTCCTTTTTCAGTTTTCTGGCATGTGCATGGCCCTTGTGCTGGTTATAGAAGACAGACCTCTACCCCAGCCTCACTGAACCCCCAGAGTAGCAGAAGGCACCCACATAACCCAGGGTTTGGTGTTGGGCTGGGGAGCCACAAGGGCTGTGGGAACGTAGAGGGGACCCCTAATTCAAACTTGACATCTTGGGGGGGCTTCCTGGAGGAGGTGGTGTTTTAAACTGGGACCTAAAGGGTGAGTCAGAGGGGGTGAGGGGGATGTATGTGGTGGCTGCAGAGCCAGGAAGCATGAGGAGCCCCATTTTATTGCTGGGAACAAAATTGGAGCTTTACCTTAAAAAGCCCTTAAGGGGAGCCCTTGCAGGGTTTAGGGTGGCGGGTGTGTGTGTGGGGGGGATGCTGGCTACTGATTTATTCTTTAGGAAGATCAAGACTGGAAGCATGGAGAGAGGTGGTGAGACCAGAGCTGGGTCAGTGGTGAAGAAAAGAATGTTCTGGAGGTGAGAGTGGCAGAGTAGGCGGAGTCGAGCACCAGTCTGGGTGACCAGGTAGAACTGGGGAGACAGGTATGAGTTGTCCGTGGAGGCCTAGGAGCTCTTGGGAGGTGCTGTCCTGGGAGTCTTTAGGGCCTGGACTCTGCTGCATGGACAGGGACTCTCAGAGGCCCAGCCGGCTCGGAGAGAGAGGTTAGGGCAGGGACCTCTGGGAGCACACTGGGGAGGGGGCAAGAGGAGAGTTGTGGGTAGATGGTGAGGAAGGTGAGGATAAGGTGTTCTGGGACACCAGCAGGGAGTGTAAGGCGGAAATGCAGAGGGAGGGGGTGAGGACTTAGGGGAGGACCCTGTGGTGCCAGTGGCCTGGGACAGGGGAAGAGCAGAAGGGAGTGACTGCGTGTGCCCTGAAGTGAGGTGTGAGCCATTCCAGGTAGACGGGAAAGGGGCAGAATTTAAGGGAGGGTCTGCTTCTAAGCAGGGAAGGGCACCGGCTGGGACGAAAAGCAGGTAGGGGAAGCCTGAGGAGACAGGCTGTCAGAGGGGTGGGTCTGAGCCCAACAGCCCCTGCTGCCCGGCCCCTCCATCCCATACACAGACAGACGTGGCCTGGCACTTTTTTGCTGAGCTAGTCCAGTTGGTCTGGGTCCTTGCATCAGGTGTCCTGCCTGTACGACCCTCAATCCTGTTGAATACACTTTTTTTTTTTAATGTAAACTACATGCAATGGAGGACTTGAACTTATGACCCTGAGACCAAGCGTTGGATTGGAGGGCCCTCAGTCTTGTTGAGACCCCCACGTTTGGCACAGGGAGTTTGGTTTCTGTCTCAGAGCAGCTGATTTCCCCAGGCGGCTTGTGGAAGTAACCACTTCCCCGCTTCGCAGACTTGGTGTCCTCCTCCCTCGCACGGATTCATGCCTGTCGGGGGCATGGCTGCGATTTCTCAGCCATGGGCTGTTCTTGGTATCCAGCGCCGCTCGGTCTGCAGACAGCTCTGGGTGGGCCATGGAGCCCTCACCGGACTCCCCCAGGAAGATTTCCCCCATTTGTCTGTGAGGTGTGGGAAGATGACAGGGCATGGGGACCCCAATCCTGAGAAGGTCAGGGAGGATGAGGCCAGGGGAGAGGCCCTTAGAGGAAGTGGGGTGGGGGTGTCAGAGCAGAGAGGCCAAAGACAGGTGACAGGACGTAAGAAAGGACAGCTCTTTTATTTTATTTTTTTTAATTGCTTTGCAAATGTGGGAAAACATTGCATTTCCTTTTTTTTTTTTTTAAGATTTTATTTATTATTTGACAGAGAGAGATACAGCGAGAGAGGGAACCCAAACAGGGGGAGTGGCAAAGGGAGAAGTAGTCTTCCTGCAGAGCAGGGAGCCAGATGTGGGACTCCCCTGAGTACCCTGGGATCATGACCTGAGCTGAAGGCAGATGCTTAACGACTGAGCCACCCAGGAGCGCCATGAAAGAAAGGACAACTCTTAGAAGCTTTGCTCAGGGCAGGGACTGGGTTATGAAGAGAGACCAAGTCTGTGGGAGGCAGAAGGCTGGGCACCCAGGGTGTGGAACGAGGGGTGGAAGGCTGGCTGGACAGGTGCATGTGGAGGGGAGCGTGTGGCGGCTGTTGTCCTTGGGAAGGGGGACCTGCGCTGTGTTCAACTTCAGACTGTATTGCTGAGGGGGCAGGACAAGGCTGAGAGGTGTCAGGGAGGGCTCTTCATTCTGCTGGGGGACAGCCATGCCTCCACCTCTGCTGAGTCCTGACCCCTTCCTCGCCAGGTGGTCCAGGTGGTGGCCAAGCTGAGCTGTCTCCTCCCTCTTCTCACCCCCCAGCCTGGGGAACCGCACTGAGGACCTCGCAGGTGGTCCTCTGGGGTCTGTTAGTCCCAGCGATGCCCCTGTCCTCGGGTGAGAAACACACAGCAGGACACAGGGTGTATGCCGGGGCTTGGGTGCCCAGTCAGTGCAACGTGTCATGTTTTCTGCCTTGAGTCCGATGTACTGCACGTGCCAGGTGCGGGGTGGGCGGCAGGTCAGAAACCCTGGGTGAAAAAATGCTGCGCATAGACTGAACACCTGTGTCCTCCCCAAATTCACATGTTGAAATTCTAACCCCAAGGTGATGGTATTTGGAGGTGGGGCCTCTGGGAGGCGATTAGATCTTGAGGGTGGAGCCCTCATGAATGGGGGTTAGTGTCCTTAGAGAGGAGGCCCAGAGAGGTCTCTTGGTCTTTCTGCCAAGTGAAAACACAGGGAAAAGACAATCATCTATGAACCCAGAAACTCATCAGACACAGAATCTGCTGGCTACTTGATCTTGGACTTCCCAGTTGGCAGAACTGTGGTTCCCCAAGCCTATGATGTTTTCGGATGGCATCTGGAACAGAGTTGTGGCAGGGCTCCTTCTGCATTTCCTTGGCTCTGCCCAGACCCCTGACCACAGTGAAAGGCAGGGTCAGGGGTAGCTACTGCCCCATCTCAAGGAGTCTTGTGTGAGCGCATGGTCCTGGAACAGAAAGGAATGCGGGCCAGCCAGACTCCCCTGAGCCAGGAGGTGACCTAGAGTGCCTGGAAGCTGCCAATTCCCATCCTCAGAACAGCCCATCTGAATCGGGCATGTTCTGAGATGGGGGATGAGCCTGCCTGGGCTGGGGCCTAGGATGACTGTGGGGATAGAGAGGTCAACCCAGTGGATGGAGCCTCCTCAGAGTCTTTGGATTAGCATTTATTGAGTGCCTACTGTGTGCTTAGGTCTGCTCTGGACACTCTTCTCACCACCTCACCTGGTCCCCAGCTCCCGGTGAGTCCCGAGTGAGGATCCACCTGTGTCCCGCCTCCCTAGTGTTAGGATGCAGATTTCCCCCTTCCCAGGAGACCCCCTCCGGGCCAAGGGCTGGGAACTGGGGCGCGGGGGAGGAAGGGGGCTGAAAGTATCCCGTGCACAGAGGGCGACGTCGGGTGGGGGGGTGGGCAGGCGCCGCCACCTCCTGAAGGAGTTGGAGTTTCCGCGTGGCCCCTGGACGTGGGCCTGGCCAGGAGGCTGGGAGGGGCGTCCGCTTCCCCTCCCTGGCCTCGCTCTCCTCCCCTCCGCTCCCTCCTCCGGGCGGGGTTCCCGGAACAGGCCGCCAAGGGCGGGGCGAGGAAGCGGTGGCCGTACGGGTCGCTGAGGCTGCCGCCGCACCTCAACCCCTCCTGCTTCTGTCCATCTGTCCTTCTGTCCGTCTGCCGCCCTGCCATGGCTGCGCGGATCCCCGCGCTCCGGATCCTACTGCTGCTGCTTCTGCTGCTCCCGCCGCCTCCAGGTGGTGAGCCTTGTGGGTGGGGGCATTTTGTCCCGGGCAGGCACGGTGTGTCTGGGAGGGGGGTTGCCCGGTTCCTGCGTCCCTGGAGTGTGCCCAGGCAGCACCATCCCCACAGTGTCCCCAACCCCCAGTAACCCCGAGGCAGTCAGCCAGCCACCCAGGACCTGACCTCAGCTCCCCTCCGTGTCTGAACGGACCCTAGGAAGTTGCCACCATTATTGTGCCCTGGGTGACGGTGGCAGTGGTGGGGTCTGTGGTCCCTCAGACGTTCGGAAGGATTGGGTCCCCAGGGGCTGGGGTGGGAGTCCCTGCCTGGTCTTAGCCTAGGGTAGTGGCAGAAGGGAGGCCTGGCCCCCTCCATCAGAGGCCTTCCCTTCAGCCCTATGTACTGGCTGGACTCCCCCACCCGCTGCTCCCATGGCCCTTGTGTTCCTGGAGACGGCTGAGGCTGGCCTCCCGGGTTGGAGGAAACACCACTGTGTGTGTTGATGGTACACTGATGATTCACAGACGGAGGAGGCCAGGCTGGGGGCCATTTCGGGGTGGGAATTGGAACAGCCCCTTGCCCAGCCAGCGGAAGCCAAATGATCCCTCTGGGGTGAGCGGTTTCCTCAAGGAAAAAGGCTTTATTTCCTGGGGGAGCTGAGATGAATCTGGGGACCCGGGCTGGGAAAGTGAGAAGGTAGTTCCCTGGTCCCTGGTCCAGTAAGTTCTGGCAAGTCTCAACCAGCTTGTCGGGGGCCCAGAAGAGCATTTGTGTCCTGGGCTCTTGGTCCAAGCCAAGTGGTGTGTGTATGTTTTTGTCCCCAGCTTAGAGGCTGAAAGGACCCTGCTGGAGGGGGGTCACCTGAGTTTCCGGTAGCGTTGGCCAGGCTGACATACCTACTGTTGGATGGACAGCTGGTTAGGGGAAGCCTGGGAGTGGTCAGGTCCTCTGCGCCTCCAGCTTTGCCCAGAGCAGGGTTCTGCCTGAACCTGCCAAGAACAGAGCACCCCTCCCCCGTCCCCCACTCCTTCCTAGTTATCTCTTCTCAAGGAGGTCACTCAGTGCCTCTGTCTTTGGGCCTCGCTCTGTATGTGATGCACTGACCAGGCTGGGTCTCCAGATTCCAGGTGCTGGGCTGGGATGTTTTTCAGGTGACATAGCCATACTTGAGGGTTTATCATTAGACCTGTCCCCAGGCTACCATAATCATTTGGGTCTTGCTGGACTGGGTGTTCTGTTCGGGATCTGTCCAGGCACAGTCTGGGACCGGCCCCCTCCTGCTGGTGGGCACTAGATCTCTGCTTATGTGGTCTAAGGGTGCGTGGGAACATTTGGTTATAGCATCTTCCTGGAAGTTTGCAAGCCTGTGGTCTCCCAAAGCCTTGGGTCATTTCCAACACTGGTCAGCCAGGTCCTCTCGGCATGACCTGGAATACTGGAGCTCTGTCCTTACCCCAGCCTGTGGGAAGGTCCTTGGATCCTTACTCTGGCTGAGAGCCTTGTAATGGTTCTGGGGCTTGAAGCGGGGCCACTGCCTCGGAGCCCTGGCCACCAGTTGTGTAAACATTTTCTGGGCACCTGCTTTTCTTGGACTTTTCTGGGCTAAGCGCTTCATGGACATGTATGGTGGGTATGACCATGGCCCAAGGTGAGCCTGGTGTGAGGGTGTGGTCTGTGAGCGCCAGGCCCCTGCACTTCTGTGTCTAGCAGAGACTGAGGCTAATATGACTGAGTGGTGAGAAGAGGAAGTTAGGGGCTGAGTGCGGATAGAGCTGGAAAGTTGGGGTGACCATCAAAGCCCTTGGCAGTCCAGCCCGTGCTTTGTGGACCCTGGACTTGATTCTGAGGCAGTGGGGACCTGGGATGGTCCACGAGCAGGAAGTGGCCCCACCGAACTCCCACTTAGGAAGGCCAGGCTTCCGGCAGAAGCCAAGTGGCTGGTGGGGGAGAGAGGGAGCCCGGTTAGCTGCCTCTGCTGTGGGACAGGGGAGAGGGCAAGGCAGATGGGGGCTGTGGCTAGAGGTGGTCAGTGACTGGGGTGGCTCAAAGGCCCCCCAGATGCTTGTGCCTGCTAGCGGTGCTGGGGAAGGGGCTCCGTTGCGCGGACCATGGCCAAGGTCTGGCGTGATGCCTGGCCCTGTGGCCCCCCGATGAACAAGGGTGCTTCTCCGCTCCAGCCCACAGTGAGGTGTGTGTGGCTTCCCATGGACACAACTTCTTCCCAGAGTCCTGTCCTGATTTCTGCTGCGGCAACTGTTACAACCAATACTGCTGCTCCGACGAGCTGAAGAAATTTGTGGGGAACGAGGATAGCTGCGCAGAGCCCAAGGCCAGGTGGGTGCACAGTGGTCACAGGGTGGGAGGGCTGAGTCTGCACCCAGCAGGAGTGTGCATGAAGGAGAAGTTAGCTCTGCCCCTGGCCTCTCAGGCCCTGCAAGGTGGTAGAGCACTGGACCAGGGATGGGGGGTGAGGGTGTGGAGACCCTGTTCTGGGCTGAACCCCCCCCCCCAGAGCTTACTCAGTTAGTCCTCTACCCCTCTTTCCCAACCCTCGAGGGCCCCCGCTCACCCAGCTCCCTCAGTCTTGGGCTGAGCAGGTTTCCCAGGGCTGGTGGCCTCAGCCGGCCCTGTGGCTCACCCCTGGGTATGCACCTGGACCAACAAGGTGCACACCTTGGTGTGAGTCTACCTTATAGCAAAGCATGCACCTGGCTGGGGTAGTATGTGACTCGTGTAGGCATCAACTTGTGGGCCCTGGAGCTCACGTCGCACCCTGCACCATGCCCGTGTCCTCTTAGTGTGGCCAGTGGATTTGCATTGCATCATGGGCTGGAAGCAAGGTCTCCCTTTGCCACATCGGGGTTTCTTTTGTGTTTGATCATAGGGATAGAGAGGGTGGAGGGGGTCCAGCTTCTCTGCTTGTGACAGGTGATCATCACTGGTCTGGACAAGACCAGCCCATGCCGTCCTATATATTTAATCTCACATGTCCCTTCCATTTCCCTCTCACCCCATAAGCAACCAGTCTGTATGTCGTTTTCACTGTTTGTGATTGATTGATTGATTGTTTGATTGACTGATTTTTAAGTTAAAGTTTTTTTTTTTAATTTTTTTTTTAAAGATTTTATTTATTTATTTGTCAGAGAGAGAGAGGGAGAGAGAGCAAGCACAGGCAGACAGAATGGCAGGCAGAGGCAGAGGGAGAAGCAGGCTCCCTGATGAGCAAGGAGCCCGATGTGGGACTCGATCCCAGGATGCTGGGATCATGACCTGAGCCGAAGGCAGCTGCCCAACCAACTGAGCCACCCAGGCGTCCCTAAGTTAAAGTTTTTTAAACTCTGCAACCAACCTAGGGCTCAAATTCACTACCCCAAGATCAAGAGTTGTGTGGTCTACTGATGGAGTTATTTTGTGTTTTGGAAAGTCTACATTGTTTTGTGGATGCAAGGAATGCCCTTACTTTTTGCATTTGGCTTAGGGTTTATAAGACCCAGTCATACTGCACTGTGTGCATCTAGCCTATGTCCACCCCTGTGGTGTTATTCTCTGGGGTGTGAGTATTAAGCTTGCTGTCATAGATGATCACTGTAAGCATCTTCCTGTACTTTCTTCCTCTTTTTTATGGAACCATGTGAGAATTTCTTGGAAGTGTACATGGGAGCAAATTGCCAGGAGAGTGATTTATGTAGGACTTCTAAGGTGTTCTTGGGAATGGCAGCCCCAGGCTACATACCAGCCTACCTAGATTCCTGATGGATCAGAGTCCACCCTTTCACTGGAAGTGAACACCTTTTGGTGTCCTTATATTTTTACATGCATCTTTTAAAGAAAATCCATTCCAGTAATTTTTTTTTAAATACATGAGCATTTCATTTAAATTTAATGTAATTATTGATGTTCTGGGATTTTATTTGCCATCTTATTTTGCGCTTTTTATTGCTCTCTTCTATTCTCTATTTCTTTCTTCTTCCCTTACCATATTGTTTTGCTTTGTTCTTACTCCATTTTTTCTTCTTCTATTCTTTACTTCTTTTACCTTCTGTATTCCTTTATTCCTTTTTCTTGCCTTGTTGCACAGGCTGGGACTTCCAGTGCAATGTTGAATAGAAGTGGTGAGAGCAGATCTCCCTGTCTGGGTCTCAATTTTAGAGAGAAAATATGCAGGATTAGGTATGATGCTGGTTGTAGCTTTTTCATTGGTGGCCTCTATCAGATTGAGGAAGTTGCCTTCTATTTCTAGTTTGCTTGGACTTGAAGGGAATCTTGAATTTTGTCAAATAGTTTCCCTGCATCTGTATTTTTTTTAACGTAATTAATCTTTTTGATGGTACTGTAGTGTAGTTTAGAATTCTTGTTATTTATTGATATAAAGGCAATACATTTTTATAAATTAACCTTGTATCCAGAGACTTTACTAAATTTATGTATTAATTTGAGTGATTTTAATAAAAACTTCTTAAGAACTTTCTACAGAAATGGTCACGTCATGTATAATTAATGTTTTATTTTTTCCATTCCAATTCTTATACTTTTAATTAACTTTTCTTGCTTTATTGCACTGGCTAGGATTTCTAGTGCAGTGTTGATTGGAAGTGATGATAGGTAGCATTCTTGTCTCAGGGGAAGGCTTTCATCATTTCATGATTAAAAATAATTAAATAAAATCTTTTAAAAAAGGGGGGGGGGTGCCTGAGTGGCTCAGTTGATTAAGCTGCTGCCTTCGGCTTAGGTTGTGATCCCAGAGTCCCAGGATCGAGTCCCGCATTGGGCTCCCAGCTCCACGGGGAGTCTGCTTCTCCCTCTGACCTTCTCCCCTCTCGTGCTCTCTCTCACTCTCGCTCTCTCAAATAAATAAATAAAATCTTTAAAAAAAATAATATTTACTGTAGGTTTTTTTTTTTTTTAGGATACCTTTTATTAGACTAAGGAAAGATTTTATTTATTTATTTGACAGGCAGTGAGAGAGGGAACACAAGCAGAGGGAGTGGGAGAGGGAGAAGCAGGCTTCCTCCCGAGCAGGGAGCCCAATGTGGGTCTGGATCCCAGAACCCTGGGATATGACATCAGCTGAAGGCAGATGCTTCATGGCTGAGCCACCCAGGTACCCGGTTACTGCTAATCTGATAGTGATACTAAGAACTCTTTTTTTAAATAAATCCTTGGTGCCCTTTAAATATTTACTTATTTATTTGTGTGTGAGAGAGAGAGACAGAGAGTGTGTGTGCATGAGTGGTGGGGAGGGGCAGGGAGAGGCAAAGAGAGAATTAAAAAAAAAAAAGATTTATTTATTTATTTATTACAGAGAGAGAGAGATCACAAGTAGGCAGAGGCAGGCAGAGAGAGGGGGGAAGCAGGATCCCCGCCAAGCAGAGAGCCCGATGTGGGGCTTGATCCCAGGACCCTGAGATCATGACTGGAGCTGAAGGCAGAGGCTTAACCCACTGAGCCACCCAGGCACCACTAAAGAGAGAATCTTAAGCAGACTCCCCACTGAGTGCAGAGCCTGACTTGGGGCTTGATCTCAGGACCCCAAGGTCATGACCTCACCCGAAATCAAGAGTCAGGCACTTGACTGAGCCACCCAGGTGCTTCTCCTTGGTGTCTTTTATTTTTTTAGAATTTTTAAAAGATTTAATTAATTTATTTGACAGTGAGAGAGCACAAGCAAGGGGAGCAGCAGAAGGAGAGGGAGAAGCAGGCTCCCCGCTGACCAGGGAGCCCAATGTGGGACTGTGGGACTCGATCCCAGGACCCTGGGATCATGACCTGAGCTGAAGGCAGATGCTTAACCATCTGAGCCCAGGCGCCCCACCTTGGTGCCTTTTAAAAGAAACATATTTCTGGGGCTCCTGGCTGGCTCAGTCGGAGGAGCATAGGACTCTTGATCTCGGGTTTGAGTTCAAACCCCATGTTGGGGATAGAGATTACTTAAATAAATAAAATTTTAAATGGAACATATTTCTTTTGGGTAAATACCTAGAAGTCAAATTGCCGAGTCATTGGGTACACGTGTTCAGCTTTGGCAGATACCCCCAGTTTTCTTTTAATTTTTTTTTTTTTTTTTTTTTGACAGAGATCAAAAGTAAGCAGAGAGGCAAGGCGGGGGGCGGGGAGCAGGCTCCCTGCTGAGCAGAGAGCCCGATGCAGGGCTTGATCCCAGGACCCTAATATCATGACCTGAGACGAAGGCAGAGACTTAACCCACTGAGCCACTCAGGCGCCCCTACCCCCAGTTTTCTAGCATTGTGGTAGTGTTTACACTCTTAGCAGCCATGTACGAGAGTTCCAGTTTGCTGTGCCTCCTCTAAAAACTTGGTATTGTAAATCAATTTTTAAAAATTGAGATATAATTACATGTAATAAAATGCACAAGTCTTAATGTTTCAGTTTGATCAGTTTTAATAAATGCATATTTCTCACCTGTAGTACCTCAGTCAAGATCTAGATCATTTCTATTTCCTAGAAGGTTTTAATTTTAGTAATTTTGGTGAATGTGTGGTAAGACCTCATTGTGTTGTTTTCTTTTAAGATTTAAGTGTTTTGAAATTTATTGAGATTCATTTTATGACCCAGCATATACTATCCCTTGGTAAATGTTTCATATGAACTTGAAAAATGGTATATTCTGCAGTTGTTGGGTGTAGTGCTTTTAGAAGTGTCAGTTAGGTCAAGTTGGTTGATAATAGTGTTTAGATCTTTTCTGTCCTTGTGGGTTTTGTCTGCTTGTTTTATCGATTACGGAGAGACCACAGATATGTTCATTCTTCTTTTAGTTCTGTCAATATTTGCTTTGTGAATTCTGATGCTTTGTTATTCGGTGCATACATATTTAGGATTGGTTTGACTTTCTTTTTTCTTTTCCTTTTTTTTTAAGATTTTATTTATTTGATAGACAGAGATCACAAGTAGGCAGAGAGGCAGGCAGAGAGAGAGGGGGAAGCAGGCTCCCCACTGAGCAGAGAGCCCCATATGGACTCGATCCCAGGACCCTGAGATCATGACCTGAGCCGAAGGCAGAGGCTTAACCCACTGAGCCACCCAGGTGCCGCTGGTTTGGCTTTCTGATGAAGTGTTCATTTTATCATGTGTAATATCCCTCTTTATTTCTTGTAATACTATTGTAAACCTCAAAGACAGTATTTTAATTGGTTTTGACAGTGAATATTTATTTACATTTATCCATATCTCGTCTTCTCTGCTGCTTCTTCTTGCTTCCTACATATTTAAGCCTTGGCTGAGATCGGGTTCCTTCTACATCTCATGCAGGTATGCTGGTGTCAAATTTTGTTTTTGTTTTTCTGAAAATGTCTTTATTTCACCTGCGTTCTTAAAGG